TGTATGCCAACAAATTCCCTTTGGGGCTTAAGTCAACTTGATTTGGGATCCATGGCAGGCATTCAAAGACCTTCCTGAGTGACATGAGACACCATGCAAATCTGGGTAAATTACGTCACGTCCAGCCCTCATAGCTGCTCCCTGAGGTAGGTCTGCTTATCTATACTTCATAGAATTTCACCTTGGAAGGCCAGCTGCCTCTTCCTGAGCCTGTCACTAATCCTCGGCACTTATGGGGACCTCGAGGGCTTGCAGATGAACTTCTTAGTGTACCTCTCTGTCCCAGTAGCAGCCTTGGGCTTTGGAAGCTGTACATTTCTTGTTCACAAGCCTGTGTGTCCATATAGTGCCCCATCCATCCTGACAGCACTCAGACATGTGTGCTGCATAGACAGATGTTCTTTTTTAGATTTAATTGTTTGTTTCATGTATCAGTGCTTTATCTGCATGTGCACATTTATGCCAGAAGAGGGCATCAGATGCCACTAGAGATGGTTGTGGGCTACCATGTGGTTGCTAGGATGAACTCAGGATTTCTGGAAGAGCAGCCAGTGCTCTTAACCACTGAGTCATCTCTCCAGCCCTTAGATAGATGTTCTTGCACAGACTGCCTGAGAACCGACCCAGGATTTCAGAGCACATGTGGATTTTCTTGCTTTGGTTCTTATTTTTACCTATTTCCAGAGGTAGGAACTGGAGTCAACGACATGATCGATGAGGACAATTCCAGCATAGTTTAAAACACACACATGCAAATGAGAGCATGCGTGCACACACACAAAACAACAACAACAACAACAACAGCAGCTCTGCTCCACTGATCACTTACAAGTCACATCAGGAAGGGCCCTATTTGTGATAGTGGTGCTCACATCTCACACAGCTGTGGGAGCCATGATGGCTAACTCTGGCCAATTGCTAGGAGAAACACTTTATACCAAACATTGCTTTAATCTATGTGGTAGTTCTCACACATGCCTTTACTTTATTTTCATGCCACTGTGAACCAGGTTGGGTAAGAGAGTTCGTATAATTCATAGACACTACACGAGCCATCGGTGTTGGGACCATTTGGAGTCCTGGCTTCCAGCAGCTCTTCCCTGCTAGAGATCTTTACTTTCCTTCTGATTTGAGTTACTGAAAGCTGTGTCAAAGTTGTTTACCAGCTCTGCTTCACGAGCGCGTGTTGCCTTGACCTTGAGGATCAGAGGATAAGGTTTTTACCTGTTGGCCCATCTGACTGTTGGGTATATAACCCTCCATGGTGCTATTGAATAAAGGGCTTCTTACCAGTGACTAGAAGTCCATATCTCTGTCTCTGTCTGTGTCTGTGTGTCTTTGTGTGTTTCAATCTCTAGCCCCTTGCCCGAAGCTCGTGAACTGTATGGTAGCGCATAGAGCGCAGACAGGCGCTGTGTGCTACACACCAGCATCAAAAAGTTCAGAGCTAAAGCTGAGTTGTGGCCATGTCTGGGAAGACCTGATGTTCTGTGTGGTGAGGAAGGAAGGGGTCTGTGGCTACTGCAGAGGAGAGAGATGACTCCAAACAAAGGGCTGGTCCACCAGAATTCTCTCAGATGGAGGCTCCTGATGAAGCAGAAACTGTATATCTGGGGCTGCCTAAGCTGATGTGACCCATCTCCAGAGTTGTTCCTGGCTGTTCAGGCTTTCCTGGCTCCACTGCTCTCTGAACATAGAAGTTTTTGTGGCCCAGTCATCGCTCCCGCCGACTCCCTAAGACTGTTGGGTTTACCAGTAGCCAGTCCCCACCCAGCTGCTGGAATCACCACTATCCAGTCCCAACGTGAGCGGAGAACCAAGTCCTACTGAACTTCTCTCCTAATCACTCATCGGAACACCCTCTAAGGCCCACCCAGGCTGCTGCTGCTCCCCCTCAGCCCCTCACCACGATCTGGGCTTCCTCTTCCTCCCTAACAACCCCAGGAGGAATTTCACAGAACTCAGTGCTTGGTCAGATTAGCCCTGCACTTCAGTCCCTCTCTGCAGTGCAGATGAGCCATTGAGTTTCACAGGGCATCAGGTTCACGACTTGTAAAGCAGGGGAAACAGGAGTGGGTTGCTAAGTAACTGTCCTGTGGTCCATGGAGCACCAGCTCTAGAAGAAAGCTAAGAAGTAACAACCTTCCCCTCGACTTTGCTCCTTATCCTCCCAACAGCTATCTGAACCAAACTTCAATTTAGCCTCGATTCCCAGAGTGAGGAAAAGGGGCTGGAGTGGCTGAGGTTTAGTGAGCAGCGCCCTCTCATCTGGTCTCAGCAGCATCACTCCACGACCCCCGCTGGGCTAAGATGAGGACTGCTCAATTGCTTAGAAGTTTAAAGTGTTTCAGATGTTTACAAATGCATTTTACCTTTTGCTTTCTTTCTGCCTCACAGCCGCGAGCTGTTGAAGGTCATAAAGCTACTGCGGAGCATCTCATTCTGTGTGTGAGGGAAACACGGGCTGGGAGATGAGGTGGCAGAGTCTTGAGTTCCATAGCCGGTGACTGAGCCATGAAATTTGTCCCCCAATCCCAGAGCACCTTCCTCTATTCCACTGCTTGCGTGTAGAACCTCCCCCGGCCCAAGGAACAGCCTTGAGGCAGGGGTGCACAGCAAGGTGGGTAGACATCACAGTTCACAGATCATGGAGCAGGGATGACTGACAGTCTTGGTAGGTAGGAGGACTGTGGACAGGACTGGCATGGGCCAGAGGTTTAGCCACAGCATCTCGGGGACCCTGACCAGTGGTGCCATCTGGGTGCTTCCTCCTTGTGTGCCTGTAGCTCACAGACTTCGCAGTACTGCTGCCAGTAGAGGCCCTACCCAAGATCCACTAGAACTGGGGAAAGATGGTAGGGTGGGGCCATCATGTGCCATTCCCAGCTTAGCCACATGTGAGCATCCTGACTTCTCTGACCTCCTGTTCCCCATCCGTAGACCCACCAGAGCAGAGCAGGTGGAACAAGAGAGTGTGAGAATGTCTGGAGCATCGAAAGACCTCAAAGACTTTGCTCACTGCCTTCCTAGTACCAAGAGCCCGGACGTTACTGCTCTGGACCTGGCCATGGGGAAAAGGAAACACCAGAACTTCCTCTAGCACCATATACCTTCACGGCACCGTGTGGATGTCGCCAACAAGGCCTTCAGAGATTCTTACTGAAACATCAGTGTTCTGACGAGCTCTTTGTTGGGGATACTAGACAGCGTGGGAAGGAATGGGTGGGACCCTTCTTAGGAGTGTTACTCTAACCCCAGTGTCTGCGAGAATTTCTGGGTCTCGGTGAATCCACTGTCTAGTTTGTGTGAATGTTGAGTAGCTACTCTGTATGAATGGCAAGGTGACCACAAACGCACGGCTTCTGTTCACTGGGGCACTTTTCGTGGAATTCTCCCTCTACTCCTTCTCCCCAGCAACTGTAACATTCCTCAGTGGGAGCCACCGTCCTGACCTGTGAATGCATTAGGTGACTTGGGCAAGGTCAACCAGCTAGCAGTGGGAAACACATGATTCAAGTTCAGACATGAAACTTGCAGAGACTGTCCTGTCCCACACACCTCAGCACCCCCCCCAAGGCTGTTATCAGAGACAGAGAAGACATTGGGGCATGGGTGTGGAGTCTGATAAACCAAACTGCCTAGAGAAGGATTTGTGGCATAAATAAGTTAGGAATGAGGCAAACAGAGTGAAGCGGATCTGATTTTAGAGGGCCTGGGTGGGAACTTAAATGGTGTGTGTTTGTATGTGTATGCATGTGTGTGTTTGTATGTGTTGTGTGTGTATGTGTGCCTGGTTTATGTGTGTGTGTGTATGTATGTGTGTGTATGTGTGTGTGGTGTGGGAAATCCTTCTGTATATGTGTTGCTTTTATTGATTAATTAATAAAAGCTGTTTCAACCAGTGGCTTAGCAGAATCGAGCTAGGTAGGAAAACTGAACTGATTGCTGGGAGAAAGAAGGTGGAGTCAGTGAGACACCATGTAGCTGCTGGGGACAGATGAGATGGAACCTTGCTGGTAAGCCACAGCCACGTGATAATACACAGATTAATAGAAATGGGTTAAAGTAAAATGTAAGAGCTAGCCAATAAGAAACTAGAGATAATAGGCCAAGCAGTGATTTAATTAAAACAGTTTTCTGTGTGGTTATTCTGGGGCTGAGCATTTGGGAACAAACAAGCGGACTCTTACAACATGTGTGTATGTATATGTTGTACACGGGTGCACTATTGTGTGATTGCATGTGGAAGTCAGAATTATTATAGTTCAGGCAGCTTCCATCATTTTTGAGACAGGGTCTCCCATTGGTCAGCTAGAACAGCTGGCCCGCAAGATTCCAGGAGCCCTCCCGTCTCAGCCTCCTGTCTTGCCATCCCCAGGATGACAAGAATGTGCCCCTGCAACCTGACATTTTATGTGGATTCTCAGGATCTGAACTCAGGTACTAATACTCATGAAGCAAACTGACTGGGCCATCTCCCCAGCTCAAAACCTGGAGTTTTGATACTTAATTTACTGCAGTTTTATTGGTGACAGGACCAACCATCAGTCATACGGTGGAAGACATCCTGAATGTCTTACGAGAATGATCAGTCTGTGCTTCTGAGGAACAAGCCCTAAGTCTCTTCTGGGTTTCTCTAGTTCTCCAGACCATGCCCCTCCCTGCTCTGTGCTGGCGCCTTGGCACCAATGAGGCACCTTGGTTTCTGGCAGCATACTGGAGGGTGGGAAGACAGGGGAGTCAGGGCATTTCTTCCCTGCTCCCCTCACTTGGGCACTGCCCAGTTTCAGCCTCATTTGTCTGTACCACCCAATGGTCGTGGATGCTGGTACTCTCTCTCTTCCCTCTGCCCATTACGCAGTAAAGCCTCTATAATTAAATTGTGTGGAACCCTGTTGCCTGCTGGGACACTGATAATGATGCAGGTGCCTTATTATTATTATTATTATTATTATTATTATTATTAGGAACCCCCAAAAAGAAACAATGCCCGAACTGACCTCCCAAGAAAGTTTCCGATGCTCTTCACCATTAGTGTCCCCACCAGGCCACCGATTGCGAATATGGACACGGTCACAGACCAGAGCAGGGTCAAGGTATCAGGGTCTATGGGATGTCCACGCCTTCTGTACCAGGTTGCATTGTAAAAGGCCTGGATATACTGGAAACAAAGGAGAGGAGTTATTTTCTTCTGCTCTGCCTGCGATGGAAGCGAAGCTAAAGGGTCTTTACAGGGCAGTTTCGTCAAGCTCTGCCCCTCGCAGAACTCCGCACTGGGCCTCACTGGGTTCTTCTAACAAATATAGGGAACGGTCCTTACAGCGTGACTCTTTTGGGGAGTGTGAAGCCAGGGAGTCAAGCAGATCTGAACCTAAACTCTGATGTCACTACGCAGTGGCAACAATGTGGAGGCCCAAAGAGGCCAAAGGTCAGAGAGTTTGGGACTTGTTTCTAGTTCATTCAAGATTATTTTGCTTCCACCTTAAACAAAGGTCCCACCTAGTTGTAAATCAGAGTTCTGCTCTCTCAAGGCTGTAGTCAGCAGGTGTGGCTAGAAGCCAGACCTTGTGCTCCTGGAACAGGGAAGTAGTTGGTTCCTACCTAAAACAAAATCTAAGGATCCAACTAAGTTCCACTCCACCCAGGGAGTGGTTTGCCAACAATGTTTGGTCTAGGGTGTGAGAACTTGCAGAACATAGTTCATGACCTTCAATTGGTGTGTTCATTTCCTTGTATCATGTAAATGCAGTCTTTTGTCTTACTCCAACCTTTTGGGGTCAGGGGTATTTTAAGCCGTTGAAAATTAGCCGTGGGCGAATTTTCAGTACTCACTGAGAAATGCCCTCACGATACTATCCTATATGTTTCTCCATTTTATTATTTTCATTCGTGTCTTTGTTTTGTTTACTATATTTCTAAATCCCCATGCCTCCACTCTGGAGAAAGGTATTTCTGTCAAGGCCGGCCCCCAACACAACAACTTTGAAGTGTGTTAAAAGTGCACACTTCTAGCAGATCTTGTAATGATCTGTCCTGTCCCTTTAAGAGACAAGCCCTGCCCACTCTCTCCCCTGTCCACCGAGGCAGGCAAATCTTCCTGCCTGCTTGGACCCATCTTTTCCCTTTCCATCTCTCTCCCAAAGAAGCAGCTTCCGCCTTGCTCCATTCTCCACACTTCTTCCCTCCCACCTTCTGTTTCTCTCTCTCTCCCCTCTCTCTACTCTTCTTCTTCTCCCCTTCCCTTCTATAATCCACTAAATAAACATCCAGCCTCACCCTGCATGGCATGCCTCTCCATCTGTCTCTCGCCTGCTGCATGGTTCCCTGCACAGGACCAGCCACCTTCAGAGACCTGTGGCATGAACTCCTGGCGTGCCCATCCATCTGTCTCTCCTAGTGGCCTGCTGCAGCCACTCGGGGAACTGCGCCGTCCCTGCCTGGGACTGGCTGCCCTCCAGACCCGCTGTTTGCTGCCTGCTTCCATATGGCTCACTGCTGCCGCTTGGGGGCCTGAAGTGTCTCGGCCACTGCAGCTGCCAGAGATCTGCAGCATTTTTACTATTACCATTACAGTACCACTGTGCAGTAGCGAAGCTATGTTACAGAAAAGACAATAAACAGAAAAGAAAAATGTTCACTTGATTGGGTCAAAAGTCCAATCTCTTTTTTCTCTTTATTTTGGGGAAATGAAGAAAAAGGCCTAGTGGGTTGCTTGTGCTGCTGAAGGTGCTTGCACCAAGCCTGAAGACCGAAGTTTGATCCCTGAAGCCCACATAGTGAAAGGATAGAACTGGGTCTTTCAAATTGTCCCTGCCCTCCACACATGTATCATAGCATACACCCACATACAAATAAATAACACAGTTAAAATTCTTTTTAAACTTGCCAGTGGTTACACATGTCTTTAACCCCCGCACTCAGGGAGGCAGAGGCAGGCAGATCTCTGTGAGTTCGAGGCCAACCTGATCTTCAGAGTGAGTGCAAGGGCAGACAGACCGGCTACACACAGAGAAACCCTGTCTTGAAAAAAAATACTTTTAAATGAAGACAAGCCATAGACTGTGTAAATATATTTGTAATGCATATGGCTGCAAAGGGAAAATGTCCACAATGCATAATGATCTCTAAAATATCCATTAGAAGACAAACACAGGACTAGAGAGATGGCTTAGCGGTTAAGAGCACTTGTTACTCTTTCAGTGGGCCCAGGTTTAATACCCAGCACCCACTACAGTTCCAAGGGATCTGATGCCCTCTTCTGGTCTCATCGAGCACTGCATGCAGTGGTTCACAGACCCATATGCAGACAAAACACACCTGCACATAAAAATATTTTTAAAAATAAAACAAATATAATTAACAATGCTCAGAAGACCTGAAAAGACCCTGAACTATATTCACAAGTCCAAGTAGGCAACCACAGACTCAGTACCATTAGTCAAAGTGACAGGCAAACAAATCACAGTGAGATCTGTCTAGACATCCACCACATCATCACTGCGGCTGCATTTGGGGCACAGGCTGGTGGGTCTAATGTGCAACATACACTGAGGTCACGGTGCTCCCCAGTGCATTCACAGGCACACACTGCTACTAATATGAGCCCACAAAACCTCTGCGCAGCTAGCACATGTCAGCACAGGGAAAGCTAGGGTTGACTCTCTCAGACTGAGCTCCATATTGTGATGCAAACAGCTTTCACCTGCCAGGGGGAAAGGATGACACTGACCTAGGGGTTGGTGTGAGGGGCAAATAAGGAGTGCTGGAACGGAGCGCGTACAAACTCCACTTAGACAGAGATACTTTCATGACCAGCTCAGAGATCTACTTCTAGAAAATTCCATTGCATGACTTTCCTACAGGCCCTAGGATACATGTTCTCAAATGTCCATCGTGGCATTGTTCATAATAACCCCAGAACAAGAATCCCAGATGCTCATGACAGAACAGAGAAACAAATTATAGAACAATCAGAACGGGAAGCACTTCAGCTACAAACGTGAGTGAGCTATGGCTCCGTGCAGAGACAGACACTGACACGATGATATCCATCCAAGGAAGTGGAGGAAACCACACGATGGTTCCGTGTCTAGGAGTCAGAGAAGCAGAACTGAGTGTGGAGGATGCTGTGAGAAATGACTGCTCCCTCAGGACCTTCAGTTCATCACCCAGTTGGTGGCAACATACATTCTAGACTTAAAAGCAACCTTTCATCCTACCGGTGAACGCATGCATGAGAGACATGTTTGTGTCTTACATATTCTTGTGTGAGTATTTATGTACGTAGTCCCTTTAACACTTAAACACAAACAGAAACAATGGAGAAATGTTCCAGAAGGAGGGAATTTGAAACAACATGGTATAGCCTGGGAGGTGGAGTAAGACACTTCACACCCAAGCATGCAGACCTGTGTTCTGTCCAGAATCCACATTTGAGAAAGAAATCTGTCACAGTGGTACATGTTTGTGATCCTGGCACTGGGAGTCAGAGACTGGTGGATCCAGCCTAACTAGCCTGCCAGTCTACTGAATCAGCGTGCCCTGAGCCGAAGAGAGACCTTGTCTCAAAATAAATAAAACCAAATGGACAGCTCCTGAGAAACACCTGAGGAGGTCGTTGACATCTGGCCTCCACACCCACATATGCACACATATATGTACATGCTCACATAGATGATGAACACATGTATGTGCAAACACACACATGTCTACCCACACAATCGAGACAGCAAGGTGGGGAAAGACTTGGGTGTTCAAAGAAGGAGAGAGTTGGTGGCGGGGAAATGAGATAAAAAAGGGGAAAGATGGGCAGGTGGAGGTGGAAGGGTCATAAGTGATTGAAGGATCCTGATCATAATTGTGGCTTCCTTGCAGTAGAGTGGGTTTTCGAGCAAGGGACGGGCATGGTGTGTTCTCATTTTCTCAGGATCCCTCTGGCTACAGGGTGAAAAGAGGGAGAAGGGAAGTAGAGAAGAAACTCGGTGTCCCATTGAGAGAAGTGTTGGGACCCGTGCAGCCTCCCAAACACCATGGAGTCCTGGACTAAACACTGTGCAGATGTGGGTGGATTTGAGACTAAACCTGGGAGTAGGGTAGTCAGGACTTCTGGGTGATGGGCTGCAGGTTTAGAAAGGGAGGATATTGAAGAATGTGAAAGAGAAACAGAGGACCTCCAGGTTTCACATGTAAAAATTCTGAAGGCTAGGGAAGAAGCATAGGAGAAGACATGTCTTCTCCCTGGGAGGTACCCATCTTCTTTTCGTTCTCTCTGTTCCCCAGATCTACCACCTCTTGGCTAGAACACATTATCATCAAGTAGAGTACACCCTATTGACAACGAAGTTCCCACACCTTAACACACAGGACATCCATTTGCCATCATCCAATTGATTCATCCAACAAGCATGTGCTGAACATCAGGCCCTGAACTGGACATGGAAGTCAACCAAACCTAATCCCAAATCTCAAAGAAATAGCAGCCTAACAGAGTTGACCACACCCTGCATCACTTAAGGATGCTTTTGGCTGCAAGTAACAGGAAACCTCTGCTTGAAACGGTAAATCATGAGGACACTTAACTAAATGGTAGCTCGCAGCAGTGGTGAGCATGGAGAATAAATGGCCCAATGGCTCAGAAACTCAGTCAGAATGCAGGAGCTTCCTGATGCTTCTCTCTGCCTTCCATAGTTTGTCCTCATCCTAAGGCTGCATCCTATCCTAACCATAGGATGCTACTCATAGCAATTCTGTTCATGAGCTTTCCCATTTGGGTGTAGCCAGAGAAAGCAATTCTGGGCCCTGGTTGATGACTCTCTACTGGAAAGAACAGGCTAGAACCTTCTTTCCCATCCTTCAGAAGAAGCCAACACATTGATCTTAGACTTTTGGACTACAGAACTGTGAGACCACACAGTTCTGTTGTTCAAGTCCATGGTACCGGTAATTGCAGCCTTAGCAAAACCCACATTGTCTCCAAGGATTCACCACCCCATCCTTTAACCAGTCGATACCACCACCAGCTCACCGGGGCTGCCACAGTGCTAACCTTTGGGACCTCACCAAATAAGTGGCCATGAGCATCTTCACTGAAGGAATATATTTCTGTCAGTGGCTAGATACCACATAGACATTAACGGCTTAGTTGTATGAAGTCTCTGCACA